ATCTGAATTTAAGCAAGATATTTGGATTTGTATCATACTCCCTTGGTGGTGTTTTTGGTCTGTGTTTATATGCCTTCAAGGCACACAAGCAGAAAGTCAAAAAACTGATCATTTTTAAACATATAGTAAATTATTCATGTATAACATTTCTAGAAAAGGTCTGAAAATTATTTATAACAATTATTTATTAGAATTACATAGTATTTTCATTAAATACGTTTCAGCAGCAATACCTAAAAAGGCTAGGTGAGAGATAATTTGAACCATTATAAAATAATTTGTCATTGGTCAGCAGGTGGGTATATACAGCTTAGGCACCCTGAATCCCAAACAGGCTTTGAATACTGAAAGAGTAACTTTGTTTCCTTATCTATTTTCTTCAACCAATCACAAGTGTGTTACAGGAAGATTTTCAAAGAACAAAGAGAAACTGGAGGTTTACCTGTTACATTTATACCATCTGACCTTTGACACCACACTGTTCGGGAAGAGCCCTTCCAAGCACTGGCCATCCATTTATATTCATAGCAGTGTCCATCTGCAGGGAAATAACAAACATTAGCAAAAACATTCTGTTACCCAGAAGGATAATCATGGGGATAAAGTATTAATAACATATTTATGAACAACTGAAAAATAATAAGCCCATCTCTGATGATTCAAATGTCCATTTATTGTCCTGAAGTTGCCATGCATATGTTTTAAAATTGCAGCTATATACCTCAATCCCAACTAATTTTCCATGTCTGCTGTCCACACTACCTGGTGGGAATCTAGGTTTTTAATTTAATTTTTAAAAAGTGTTGTAAATATACAGCCAGGTATAGAGAATAACTATATATATCTATCTATATAGTTAGATATATGTAGATATCTATCTATATATAGTTATATATAACTACATACAGTTATATATATATAATTGCATGATGGAAGATATATATATAGTTATATATGTATACAGTTATATAGTTATATATGTATAGTTATACATATATCTTCCATCATGTAATTTGTATAGTTATATATATATAACTATATATATATATCTTCCATCATGCATAACTGTATACAGTTATATATATAGTTATATATATATATCTTCCATCATGCAATTTTGTCAAATTTTATCCATATTTGCTTCAGTTTTCATTAGCTTGTTGATGAATAAAACATGAGTCTGTTCTGATCACCCTCCTTGTCTGTCCATCTAGACATACTATTCTGAAGATGTATGACTTTCTTTGCCATGCTTTTAATTTTTTCACTATACACACACACATAATTACTATATACAGAAATGATACATGGTATTACTTTCATGCAGTCATAAATTTTAAAAATGTATCCTATTCTGTGTAGCATTCTGAAACTTAGTCAATGTTACAGGTGAAATATTTCTAAGTGATTTAAAAAAATGTAGTTACAGTCACTTTATTTTAACCGCTACATAGAATTCCATTGTACTAAATAACACAGTTTATTTAGCTATTTTTCTATTAGGTTATTTTTAGTTTTGTTATTCAAACAATGCCCTGAAGGTCAATCTTGTGCAAATGACCTGGTGCTTCTTTAAGTTACATATCTAGAAGGGAAATTTCTTGGTATAATTGTACGGATAGCTGAAACTTTATTAAATATTGTTCATTTTTTCCCTGCAAAAGGTGACAATTTACAAATCCACCAGCAGTACATAAAGATTGTCATTGTTCTAAACACTCATGAAAATTTATAATTGCCAGATTTTAATTTTTTCTGGTTAGTCTTTTGGGTATGGAAAGTTACCTTGTCATTTTAAATTAAAGTTCCTAGATTACTAAAGTTATTGAACAGTAACAAAAATGTTTTGGGACATTTGGATTTCCTGTTATGAAAGCTGCTTATTTAAACCTTTGGCCTTCCCCCTCCCCCACTACTGACATTTATGTTTTTTCTCATTGAATTGTGGAAATTCTTCATTCTGGAACAGTGATTCTTAAAGTGCGGTTCAGAGACCCTGGGAGACATTGACATTCTTTCAGAGTGTGAGTGAGGATTTCCCCTTTGCAACTACAATCTGTGTAAGGTTGGATTTTCTTTATATACGTAAACTAAGACTGCAATAACTTGAATGCAGAAGCAAATAAGATAATCCGGCTGTCTTCCTTAAGTTAGACTTTATAGAGATTTGCAAAAATCCAAACAAGACCACTCTTGTCATTAAAGTTATTTTCCATTTGTTATGGTGAACTTATTTTGCAGGAAATTTGTTATTTATAGTAACATACAATTTTGTTTTTGATTTTAAATAAATAAATATTATAAGTTTTCTATTTTTAAAATTATACATCTCAGAAAAGTTCTTTCAGGTCCTCAACAATTTTTAGACTATTAACTTGTTTTGGATCACAAACTTTTAGATTTGCTATTCTATACATGAATCCTTTGAAATTAATTCACTTCATAAGTATATTTTTCAAGTTTGTGGTTTGTCCTGTAACCTTGTTATGATCTATAAACAAAGTTTATAGATCTACTGTGTAGAAGTTTTAAATTTTAATTTAAAGACATTTAAAATCTTTTCCACTTTTGGTTGTACTTTTGGTGTCATATTTATTCCCTCTGGGATGAAGCTTTCAGAGGAAGGAACAGGTAGCAATCTTTACTGTTCTGCAGCCTCTGCTGGTGATATCCAGGCAAACAGGGTCTGGAGTGGACCTCCAGAAAACTCCAGCAGACCTGCAGCAGAGGAGCCTGACTGTTAGAAGGAAAACTAACAAACAGAAAGGAAGAGCATTAACATCAATATAGAAGGATGTCCACTCAGAGACCTCATCCGAAGGTCACCAACATCAAAGAGCAAAGGTAGATAAATCCATGAAAATGAGGAAAAACCAGTGCAAAAAGTCTGAAAATCCAAAAACCAGAATGCCTCTTCTCCTCCAAAGGATCACAACTCCTCACCCGCAGGGGAACAAAACTGGATGGAGAATGAGTTTGAGAAGTTGACAGAAGTAGGCTTCAGAAGGTGGGTAATAACAAACCCCTCTGAGCTAAAGGAGCATGTTCTAACCCAATGCAAGGAAGCTAAGAACCTTGAAAAAAGGTTAGAGGAATTGCTAACTAGAATAACCAGTTTAGAGAACAACATAAATGACCTGATGGAGCTGAAAAATAGTTCAAAAATTTCGTGAGGCATACACAACTATCAATAACCAAATCAATCAAGCAGAAGAAAGGATATCAGAGATTGAAGATCAACTTAACGAAATAAAGAAAGATGACAAGATTAGAGAAAAAAGAATAAAAAGGAACAAACAAAGCTTCCAAGAAATGAGGGACTATGTGAAAAGACCAAATCTACCTTTGATTGGTGTACGTGAAAGTAATGGAAAGAATGGAACCAAGCTGGAAAACACTCTTCAGGATATTATCCAGGAGAACTTCCCCAACCTACCAAGACAGGTCAACATTCAAATTCAGGAAATACAGAGAACACCACAAAGATACTCCTCGAGAAGAGCAACCACAAGACACGTAGAGAGAAAGGTCAGGTTACTCACAAAGGGAAGTCCATCAGACTAACAGTGGGGTCCCTCTGTAGAAATCCTACAAGCCAGAAGAGAGTGGGGTCCAGTATTCAACATTCTTAAAGATTTTCAATTCAGAATTTCATATCCAGCCAAACTAAGTTTCATAAGTGAAGGAGAAATAAAATCCTTTACAGACAAGCAAATGCTGAGAGATTTTGTCCCCACTAGGCCTGCCTTACAGGAACTCCTAAAGGGCACACTCAATATCGAAAGAAAAAACCGGTACCAGCCACTGCAAACATGCAGGAGATCAGTCAGGGTGGTGTGAGAGACTATAGGGAAAGCAGCACGCCTTCTGAAAGGTCCAAAGGCTCTGCCTAGATTCGGGGGAGAATAGCCAGACAGCTGTTCTCTGACCCTGAGGCAGATGGCAAGGAGTAGGTACAAGGGAATGTAGGGGAATTTATCTTGAACAGGCTTGTTTACTTATGTTGACCAGGAACTGATCTTTGATCATCCACACACCTGACGTTCCTTGAAAGGGGAACAATAAATGTCAATTTCTCACAGATTGTGTTTGCTCCAGGCTTTTGGCATTGTGCCTACAGTGAATTAAAGCATGCAGCTCCAGCTTCTCTGGGTGCACTTTGACCCTAGAGCCAGGCAGACCCCTAGCTGCCCTTATACTGCATACCTGTGTCTGAGTACTATTTTTCTGTGGACAGGCCCGGCAGGTGGTGCCCATGTGAAGAACACTGCAATGGATCATGATGGAACCCTCAAAAACGAAAGTGAAGTGACTGTGCTGTAAGTAATTGGTGCCTGCTCTGGATTTCCAAGTTTGAGGGGATTTTCAAGCTAGGGTTTCATCATGGGAAACCCAGTTATTAGCTCAACAGTAATAGTATATAAAAAAATTGAAACAGCTGCTTAAAGCTAGCAGAGCCTCAGTTTCAGAGGCTGAATTAAGGGACCTAATGCAAATTGTTGTTTTCCATAACCCATAGTTCCCAGAAGGAGGCACACTAGACCTAGAGCTCTGGGAAGAAATGTTAAATTACATCATGTACAAGGGCAGTGGGTCCCAGTAACATCTTTAACGTTATGGGCCTTAGTTAGGGCTGCTTTGGCCCCGCTCTACACAGAAGAGCCTAAAAAGGGAATGGAAGAAGAACCATTGTCTACCTTACTGCCTCCTCTTCCTTCCTCAGCCCTGTTGTTACTGGGTAAAGGTGCCACAGAGGTTTTCCCTGAGCCCTCTCCCCCAATACATTGGAAAAAAGACAAGAGATACACTACAGTTATGGGACCCTGTCTTAGCAGCATTATAAGGGGAGTTCTTGGTCTGCCCGGTGATGTAAGATCTACAAGGCAATCGACCAATTACTTTCAACACTTATAAGAAAAAGCATTAGAGAAAATGGAGCCACTAGCCCATTTATGAGAGGATTAATTAAGGCTATAGCAGACTACTTCCATATGACCCAATAGGACTGTCAGTGCTAGGTAAAACAACGTTAGAGGCCAGTCAATACCTCCTCTGGAGGGCAGAATTTGATGAATTATGTGAACAGCAGACCCCTTTCTAGTAATGGCCACTGTTGTTATTCCTTCCCTACCCCTGACGTGGCTCTCTCAAAATCCTATTTGGGTAGAACAGTGGCCTTTAAAGGGAAATAAATTACAAAAAGCCCATGAATTAGTTGAGGAACAATTAACTGGCCATACAGAATCATCAAACAGCCCTTGGAATTTGCCCATTTTTGTCATTCCCAAAAAGTCTGGTAAATGGAGACTTTTGCATGACTTACGTGCTATCAGTGCTAATTTGCAACCTATAGGGTCCCTTCAACAGGGGCTCCCTCCATGGTGATTCCTCAAGATTGGCTTGTAGTCATTATTGACTTAAAAGACTGCTTTTATACTCTTCCCCTTGCAGAGCAGGACAGAGAAAAATTTGCATTTACAATACCAGCTATCAATAATGAAAGGCCAGCTTGCTGATTTCATTGGAAAGTACTTCCTC